AAGTCCAACCTTTCAGTTAGCAGCTGAGCACTTAACCATTGTGCCACCAGGGCTCCTTGTGGCACAGAAGAATGAGTACCAACTTTTGAATCATTTAAGCCTGAATCCCAAGCATGAACTCACATCCACTACTTATTAGTGTGATACCATACAAAGGACAGGTTTCTTGACCTCTGAGTCTTAGTTTTATCAACTGAAGATGAGATGGTCCCCCCTCACAGGCTGTCAGAGGATTAGCTATGTATGAGGACCTAGCACTGGCCCACAAAAGGGGTGCAGTGAGCATTATTATTAGTCGTAGGCCCTGGAGGAATTCAAAGTGCAAGGGCAAAATATTGTTTGTGCACATTTAGGCAAGGCCCTTGACAAGCCAGGCTCGAAGAAAAGCATTGGCATGAAGGAGGTAAGCAACCAAGGTGGAGTTGGGGAGGGCTGCCAGGACCAATGGGAAGTGAATGTATGAATCTGGTTCCCTATTGCCACATGGAACCTGAATGTGCTTTCTGCTGGGCTGCACTGCTGTGCTGTGGGTCACAGGAAAAAGAGCATGTGTGAACCATGGGTGAGGCTGGGCTGAAAACAGCTGCCAAGCAAACACTGGGAACAGTTTGTAAGACTAGGGTATTGATTCAAGAACTCTTTGAGAACTAAGCCTGTTCTCTCCATTTCCTAAGCCTCGAATTGTGTGGAGACTATTTATTACACAGCAGCACTGCCAGGGCAGAAGATGATGCGTGCACACACGCCAATACCACGCCTGTTAACTGGCAAGGAGGATACAAGCCACGTGGCTCCAGCCACACAGTGCTTCGATGTAATTGTGGTTTCATCTGCTAAATAAAGCAACCTAGAATGCCTGGCCACTCAAGGAAGAGGTATTACCAGAGTGGCCGCCACAGATAACGCTTCCCTTTGAAAAGTTCAATGCTCAAACAGGAGGCTCCAATCTGCCAGCATTCGAGAGCAGCTCCAGAAAACTGAAGATAATCAGACACCTCTAATCCTAATCAATAATACTAAACCCATTGCCGTCGAGTTCATTCCGACTCACAGTGACCCTACAGGACAGAGTAGAACTGCCCCATAGCGTTTCCAAGGAGCACCTGGTGGATTCGAACTGCCGACCTTTGGTTAGCAGCCGTAGCTCTTAACCACTGTGCCACCACGGTTTCCAATCAATAACACTAGAGGAGTTAAATTCTCAGCCTTTGGCAGCGGTTTCTTTTATTAACTTTTAGCCAGGATGTTACCAAAGACAATTTAACCCAAAAATCAGGTTTGATTTTACCACATCATTTTTAGGTAAAAAGACTCCAATTCCTCAGAGATAATAAAGCAAAAAAAATAAAAAAATAAAAAAGCAAAGCAGCCTTGACCACAGACAAATAACGTAGCCCTGAAGAGTGGCCTATAATTGTGGAAAGACTAAATGTTCAACTTGGTCTCAGTAGCGGCTGTTTTGAAGTAATTTATTTGTTCTTTTACCACACACTCCACTACAGTTCTAACTTTTAAGGGGGAAAAAAAAAGTCTGTTAAAATAGTAACAAGGAGAAAGGTACTGACACACACACACACACACGTGCACATTTTGTGTGTCCTTCAGAAACCCACGAGCTCAGAGTGGTCACTGAGTGATCTGGTAATCCTTTTGGAATAAAGGCCAAGCGGACCGCCTTTTGGGTGGACAGCTAACCTCAGGACGAAGCACTTCGGAGACATGGAGGTTAACGCTCTCGTGACAAATCTCTGGTCTCTGGAGCTTGGTAAATCAGGAGTCTAATGGGATTCCAGACATGACCTAACATAAATGGACTAGGCATTTGTCCAAACTAGATTCCACTGTGAAAAATATCAAATTTAATGCAAAATAAATGTGCTAATCCATGGATAGTACACACACTTTATGTAAGTTAAAAAATTCGTAACTGGGCAAAGATTTTCCATGTCTCAAGGCATTTGTCTCCAACAGGTTTTCTAGGTTTAATACAAGATAATTTGTTTTTAGCTTAGGATAACAATTCTTGCTTATGGGAGCAAAATCCTTATTAACCACATAAATAAAACAAACAAAAAACCCAAAACCAAAACCTGAAATGGAAACCTTTGAAAGCCGATACTAGTTGAGGATCCAAGGCACAACCATATTATGCAAATGTGGGAAAAACTACCTTTGGGGATTTGTTCATTTCAGTACTTCCTAGGACTCCCAAGTGAGAACATCGTAACCAAATTCACCAGGAAAAAGTCTCCCCTAAGGAACTGGTTTGCACTTGACTTACCCACAGAGAAATGTGTAACTGGTTTCCCTTCTAGCCTTGGCTGCCAGAAGTTCCAGAGTCAAATTTTAGACCCAGTAACAGCCACTTGTTAACCCTTTGTTCCATTTTCATTGTTCTGGTTTTTCTCCCCTTTCTGTTTATATTATATTAACATCAATGCACATTATCTTTTCTTGGTATGATGCTTCAATTTCTTTGGGGAAAGAGGCTGGGTATAAATACATTTCAAATACAAACCAAAAAACAAGCAGATAATTGCAATTACTTTTGGGAGAGAAAAAAAGTATCTGTGCTATCAAGGCAGAGAATATCTTAATCAAAAAGCAATTATTTCAGAATTACCTAAATTAAGATAAAACACACCTACATTTGACAGTAGCAGGCCTGGACTCATCGATTTCGATTTTGTTGTTAGATGCCGACCCTATGTACAACAGAACGAAATACTGCCCGGTAATGCCCCATCTTCACAGTCATTGCCATGCTTGAGCCCATCGTTGCAACGACTGTGTCAATCCATCTCGTTGAGGGTCTTCCTCTCTTTTGTTGACCCTCTACTGATTTCAGAAGCCCCCAATTCCTTGATTTTTTTTTTTTTTTTTGCCAAGAACAGACAAATTTCCTGAATAAAATCTTGGTCACCTTCATTACTTTCCACTCTAATGAAAACAGCTCTGGGCTAGGAGATGCATTGGGCTTAGCTGTGTGATCTTGGGAAAATTCATTAACATCTTTATACCCTAGTTTCTGCCCCCTTAACATGAGGGCAAATACTACTTTCCCTACAATACAAAACTCATCATGATGACGTAAATGCAGACTTGCTCTTAGAAGTAAAAGTGCAATAAATGCAAGATATTAATATCATACACATTAGCGTCCTAAGTGATTCTTTCTCAAGAGTCTAAGGACTTCTTTACACCCATGGCAAATTTTCTTTCCAAATTCATAGTTTCCTTGCTAACAAGCTATATATAAACACTCAGAGGTACAGGCACCAAATAATGAAAGAAAGATTTCTATACATAAAACATTATTTATAGCTGTTTTCACTTTTCACATTTAGACGTAAACATCCCCTTATCCAAAATAGCTGATGAAAAAACAAAGCAGAAACAAACAACTAAGCCTTTAAAAATGGCTGGTGAGTAGTTTTCAAGTTCTTCCTGAATGAAGGGATCCAAATACCAAGCATTTAACTCATCAATGCAGTGATAAGGAGGCAGCTCCTGAACCAAACTGGCACGAGTGCTCTAATATATCAATACACAGCAAAATCACAACTAGTCAGAATGTTCAAACCTCCTGGTTAATTGACTATTTATAAGAAAACTCATTTTCTTATAACCGCGAGTTTAGGAAATCTCTCTAAACCGAACCACGTCACTTTCCTGGCTCAGTCAGTACAAAATGCCAAACATAATCAGATGTTGTTTTCATGATTTATAATCATGTGATGCACTGGACGTCTCTCTCAGAATACACATAATTTCTGTGCAGTCTTGTCAGAGGCAGAAAACTGTAGTGAATTCAAGTTTCTTATTTTAAATAACTCCCTGACATCATAAACTTTTGTCTTCCTTCTTCTGCTCATTCTCCTAAAAGGACAGTGCAGCAAAAAGGGTCTCGGTAAGCACAAGGTTACAGTTCTAGATATACCTACACTGTTGCTTCAGGCTAACATGGCCGTTCAGTGATGACTTTACCCCTCTGGACTTCTTCTACTCAATAAATATGCTCGGTAATATGGATTACATGTAATGGAGCCACTGTTTTTCTGGATAATATCAGATTTCAGTACATTATCAATTCCTTATTTGGGACCTTTTCTTTAAAAAAACAAAAACAAAAGAAAATCAATCATGAAGATGACGTCCAAAGGCAAGCTGGAGAGTTGTACATTTTGCTAACAGAATTAAACTGTTACTAACTCATAAAGGCTTGAACAATCTTTATAATGTTATCAAAAAGCAGGTGAGTGGTCTCAGATACGACCAGTGCTTAACTCCTTGAAGCCATAAAATAATAAGAGTTACTGAGAGAAAAGTCACCCTCCAAATTCCCTCAGTCACCAAGCGACTGGTGGCACAAAGGTGATTGCGGTGGTACCCAGCACAGAATTAAACAACGCCAAATCCCAGTGAGTACACCATTCCGCTTACACCTCTTTCTATCCTTCTGATTGTCCCACAGAGAAAGCCCCATTTTGGTGATGGGTAACATCTTTCACTGCAAGGAAGAGCCGGCCTCTTCGTTTCAAAGCCCAGGGAAGCATTAGCTAGAATTTAATACCATTTTTTGTTCTAAGTTTCATTATTTTGTGGTTACCTTTTATTTATGGCAAATTGATACTGGCTTTCCACTTGTAATTGAGATTAGTTTCTTTTTACAATACTTTAAAATGTAAAAGATAAATATTAAACAAATAGTAGTTTGGCAGTACTCAAGTGATTAAAGTTTGGGGAAACAATGGCTATAGTCTAACAAATCATGTTTTTTAAAGTGACATCAAAAGAAACTAGAAAAGTGACCTAGAAAGAAAACATCTATCCCTGTATTTTCAATACTTGTGAGGTTCCAACGACGAGCTCAGTAGAGCCTTCTCCCCCATTAGGTGATTTCTGGAGTTGACTCAAGCAAAAATATAAAACGAAAATGAATCAATTCCACCCCATCCTAGACCTCATAAATTCATGGTACCATAAAAGTGTAAATAATCTGATATTTAGCAAGTCATTTGTTTTAAATATAAACTTTCCAATTTAGTGCACCATCTTTTTATTTGGTCTCTACTAATGCCTCACAAAGGCAAACCCACGTTGACAGTTCCTGCTTGGCTTCAGAGCAGGGACCACATGTATATTTTGATGGACGCCTTCAGCAAGGATTCAGGCCCGCTGGCGAAGTCTTCCAATGGTGTCCGACTGTTCCTCCACGTTATGGCTCTGCAGAGATAAGCCACCGCCACCTCCTCCTCCTCGGAATGATAATCCCACAGCCAACACTCTTCTGAGGGGATTTGCCTGGCAGGTCCTGCACACTCACAGGCATGCTATGCTGATTTAAAACAAAAAGGCAGGCAGGAGAGAAAGAAAGCAGAGCTTCTCATTGGGGGTGAGCAGTTTCTTCATCACAGTGGCAGTTAAGATGTGCTCCCTTCCTTTGTCCCCTGAAGCCAAGGCAATAGGTCTGAAGGTGGTGTCAGACATCATAATCAGGAGCCTTGCCCTGGGCTTGCCGTAGCCAGATCTGTAACGTAACGAACGCTCCCACAGTCACATGAAAGAAAAGCTGCCAGAGGTTGCGCAGTTCATAAAGGTACATATTGCATAGGCAGATTAATCCAAAAGTCAAAAAAGATTTGACATTCCGCCAGCCGGTGTAGTAGACAAGTAAATAACACTGTTCAAAACATAAAAACGAAAGATGATTAGGGTTACAGGAAAAGAAACAGATGCTCCTAGTAACAAATTATAGCAGGCCAGAGAGAAATATGAGAGTGGAATAGGGGATTTTTCATCTAGGGATAAGATAACCTACGAAGGACATTCGGTAGTAATGAAAGTGCCACAGCTTGAAAGGGAAATAGATTTTCCCTTTTATGTTTTTCATTTTTCAAAGGAAAAAGCATTTTGTTTGGATTAAACCAAAAACCAAATCAAACCCGTTGCGGTCGAGTCAATTTTGACTCATAGCAACCCTACAGGACAGAGTAGAACTGCCCCATAGGGTATCCAAGGAGCAGCTGGTGGATTCGAACTGCCAGCCTTCTGGTTAGCAGTCATAGTGCTTACACTATGCCACCAGGGCTCCATAATTGGATTACTCCTTTGCATATAGGCTAGGCAAATTTTCCAAGGTGTCAGGTAACTAAGAAACATTCCCAGTATCTGAGGGGGTTCCAGCTCTCATTCTCACCCCAAAAAGTATAAAAAGCTCACAGAAGCTATTCACTAAAATGGACTCTGATATAACCTGAGTCTGAATAGCAATAAAATCAACAAATACTTTCCCTCACGGAGTGCAAGGAACTATGCTAGGTACAGGGTCTGAGTGAACGTGAGTGAGAATTCATTCAGTGAGTATTTCTCAAGGGTCTGCTACAAGTCGGGCATTGCTCTTTAGTCATGAGTCCAACAGATAAAGCCGCTGCTCACATACAGCGTACATTCTGGAAGAGGGAGAAAAATTATAAACGTATTTTAATACATAATATCAAACATATATGTCTTGAAAAAGATACAGCAGAGAAAAGGGACAGAGAATCACAGTGAGTGCTCTTTCCGAAGAATCTTGGCATTCATCCTTTCCTGCTGTCTTTTACTCCGTAACATACTATACACATATTTTTAAAATATGCTATTTTGTTTGTCATCTGTATCCTCTGATAGAGTCTAAGCTTCATGAAAGGAGAGACGTTTAACTGTTTTGCTCAGTCCTTTCTCTCTCCAGTGTCCAGACCAGTGCCTGGCACATAATAAGTGCTCAGTAAAAAACTGTTGAACCGATCAACTGTTTTTCAAGAAGAAATCTAAAATTCACACCATGGTAAGTGCAGGAATTATATGTGATTACAAAGTCTTAAGAAGTGCAGGTCTCTGTGTAGAACTGTATCCAGGCTTCAGAACAGGAAGGACATCAGGTGTTTGCAGCAAAGCAGAAAGAACATGGGCATGTTCTGCTAAACCTGTTTAGTTCTAATATAAATTAGAACTTCGCTTATTTTAAAAGACTGCTATTCAAGAAAAATGAATTGGATGCATTCAAGTCATTATTTTATCTGTAATTTCACTATGGAATTAAAAGTTGAAAATAAATAAGAAAAAATTAACTTTTTCTTTTGAAATAATCTTAGACTAAGAGAAAAGCTGCAAAAATAGTCCAGAGAATGCCCGTATACCCTTCACTCTGTTCCCCCTAGTGTTAACCTCACAGCCATAGTATACTTATCAAACCCAGGAAATTAACACTGGTATGGTACTATTAACTAATCTACAGACTTTATTTGAATTCTGCCGGCTGACCCACTAGAGTCCAGGATCCAATTCAGGATTCCATGTGGCACGTAGTTTTTATGTCACCTCCAATCTTAATAGTTCTTTGTCTTTCATGACCCTGACAGTCTTGAAGACTATTGATTGGCTATTTTGTAGAATGTCCCTCAATTTGGGTTCATCTGATATCTTCTCATGATTAAACTGAGGATATACACTTTTGGCAAGAAAACTTATTTGGGGCTTTTTTTTTTTTTTTGTCTGCACCTGTGGCACTTTCTGTTTCTTCAACTCCAAGTCAGGGATGTATGAGGCAAAAGGAAAACCCAAGGAAGTCACCACTGGGTCTCTCCATCCCTAGCTCATATGACTTCTTCTCTCCACCTTTCAGAGGCTTCTTATGCTTGTTTCATATATAATGTCCTAGCTGTACTTAACAAGAGGAATAAGAAAAAGTTCTTCTACTCCATCTTCCCAGAAGTGGAAGTCCCTGTACAGTTGTGTTTAAAATAAGTTTCAGACTTTTGTGCTATTTCACCTCAAAATACTTCAGCATGTATCTCCTAAGAACCAAGAAATCCTTCTGCATAGCCATGGTACCATCATCACACCCAGAAATATAACACTGATACACAGTTGTCCCTCTGTATCCGCAGGGGACTGGTTCCAGGTAAATGCAACAGGCTTTCCTTTTCCTCTTAAGTTTTCTAAATTATATTTGATAGTTGAAGCAAAAATTTTAACACTATCTCTGATGTGGTTCTAACATTATGTAGAGGAAATATTTAAGACAATTATAAACAGGGGAGGGTAAAGAGATGTAAGAGAAGTAAGGTTTCCATACTTCACCTGAACCGGTAAAATTATGACATCAGAAGATGGTGATTAAGTATATATAATGTAATACCTAGAGCAACCACTAAATGAGCTATACAGAGATACACTCAAAACAGTATAGATAAACTAGAATTCTAAAAAATGTTCAAGTAACCCACAGAAAGGCAGGAAAAAGAAAACATACAAAACAAAAAGTAAAATGATGAACCTAAGTCCTAACATATCAATAATTACATTTATGCACATGTTCTAAATACATCAATTAAAAGACAGAGACTGGATCAAAAAACATGAGCCAACTATACACTGTCAACCAGAAACTCACTTCAAACAATGCAGACAAGCTGAAAGTAAAAGAAAGAAAAAGGATATATTATGGAAACATTAATTAAAAAACAAAACAAAACAGGAGTGGCTATATTAACATCAGATAAAGTAAACTTCAGTGCAAAGAAAACTATCAAGGAAGAGAGGAACATTATGTAATAATGGGTCTATCCACCAAGACAACATAGCAATTCTAAACATGCAGGCATGAAACAGCAAGCTGCAAAATACACGAAACAAAAACTGGTATAACTGAAAGAAGAAATGGACAAATCACGATTATAGTTGGAAACTTCAGTGCCCCTCTCTCTCAGTAACTGACAGAATAAAAAATCAGCAAGGATAGAGAAGAACTCAACAACCATCAACCAACAAGATCTAACTGATACTTATAAAGCACTCACCCAACAACAGCAGAATACATACTCTTTTCAAGCACCCATGGAATGTAAACTAAGATAGAACATATTCTGGGCCATAAAACAAACCTTAGCAAACTTTTAAAAAGTGAAATCATATACAGTGTGTGTTATGGATTGAATTGTGTTCCCTCAAAATATGTGTTGTAATTCCTAACCTCTATGCCTGTGGTTATAATCCCATTTGGAAATGGGTTGTCTTTGTTACATTAGTAACATAGGATTAGTGCAGGGTGTGTCTTAAATCAATCTCTTTTGAGATATAGAAGAGATTAAACAAGCGAGCAGAGCAGAGATGGGAGACCACTGATGCTAAGCCACTTGGAGATCTCCAAGGAACCAGGAAACAAGCTGAAGCAACAAGGACCTTCCCCCAGAGCTGACAGAAACAGAACACCTTCTCCTAGAGCCGGCGCCCTGAATTCAGACTTCTAGCCTCCTCAACAGCGAGAAAATAAATTTCTGTTTGTTAAAGCCATCCACTTGTGGTATTCCTGTTACTGCAGCACTAGATAATTAACACAGTATGTGCTTGGAATCAAACTAGAAAATCAGTAACAGGAAAATCTTCAAACACTTGGAAACTAAACAAACTTCTAAATAATCCATAGGTCAAGGAGGAAGTCTCAAGAGCAATAAAAAATACACTGAAGTAAATGAAAATACAACATATTAAAATTTGTGAGATACAGCTAAAGAAGGGCTAAGAGGAAGATTTATAGTATTAAATGTATACATTACAAAAGAGGAAACTCTCAAATCAATAATCCACTTCCCACTTCAAAAACCTAGAAAAAGAAGAGCAAACCCAACCCAAAACAAGGAGGAGAAAGAGACTAATAAAGGTAAGAGCAGAAATCAGTGAAATTAAAAACAATAGAGAAAATCAATGAAACAAAGAGATGGTTCTTTGAAAAGATCGATGAAATTGACAAGTAAGAATGATAAAGAAAAAAAGAGAGAAGATACAAATTACCCATATCAGGAACGAAACAGGGAATATCTCTACAGACATCAAAAGGATAATTACTTACTGGCCTGACAGAGACTGGAGACACCCCAAGAGAATGGCCCCCGGACACCCTTTTAGCTCAGTAATAAAGTCATTCCTGAGGTTCACCCTTCATCCGAAGATTAGACAGGCCCATAAATCAAAACAAGACTAAAAGGGCACACCATTCCAGGGGCAAGGACTAGAAGGCAGGAGGGTACAGGAAAGCTGGCAATAGGGAACCCAAGGCTGAGAAGGGAGAGTGTTGACATATCGTGGGGTTATTAACCAATGTCATAAAACAATATGTGTACTGTTTAAAGAGAAGCTAGTTTGTTCTGTAAACCTTCATCTAAAGTACAATAAAAAAAAAAAAAAGGATAATTAAGGAAATACTATGAATAGCTATAAACCAGGTGGTCTCCAGTAGATTCAGACTCATGGTATGTCAGAGTAGAACTATGCTCCATTGGGTTTTCAGTGGCTGGTTTTTTGGAAGTAGACTGCCAGGCCTTTCTTCTGAGGCACCTCTGGGTGGATAAAGGCAGTTGAGCACATTATCCATTTGCACCACCCAGGGACTCCATGAACAGTTACATACATATAAAGTTGATAATTTAGATGAAATGGACCACTTCCTCAAGAAATACAAACTACCACAACTAACCCAATATGAAGCAGATAATCTGAATAACCCTGTAACTATCAAGACAATTGAATTTACAATTTAGATACTCCCAAAATAGAAATCTCCAGGCACAGATGGTTTCACTGGAAAATTTTAACGAAAGTTTAAAGAAAAATTAATGTCCCTTCTATATGATTTATTCTAGA